TGGCCTCTTTGGGGCTGGAAATTCACTTTCTTGCTTCAGATCCCAACCACTTTCCCCAGCCTTTGGGTTGCATCTACACTGTAGAATTAATGTAGAACTGACCCTACTTTTACCTGCCATGGGCTCAGTATTATGGGATCCTGGAAGTTGTCCTTTTCACAACATTTTCTGCCACACTGCAACTCCTAGGGTTCCCTATCATTGAGCCATGACAGTTCAAGTGGCTTCAAACCGGGTTAATTCTGCAGTGCAGACACAAAAGTGAGGTTTGCACTTGGAAGAGAGCAGGCAAGATGAAATAAATATGTTCAGAATTATATCTCTTTCACTATACAAATCACTCTCATTCCTGAGTTTTCCTCCCTAGAGGAGGCAGAGAATTATTAATAGTATTATTAATATGATCCTAATTGGAATGCAACTGCTCTACTAATAATACTAATAGCCTCCACAGTTCTCTATAGATCCCTTCTCCAGTCTTTAAACTCACAATGGCTTTCCTTGCTAGAGAAGATGTTTGGAATTCCAAGGGAAAGAGTAAATAAACAACAACAACAACAACAACAACAACACTTCTGGCTGCTTCTTTTCTTAACAGCAACACACTACTTTGGACTATTTCTTTTTAAAAAAAATACTATTAATATTGTAATAACGATTATATAAATATTTATTGTTAATATTAATATTTCATAAATAATATTATTAATATTAATAATATTTATTAATATTATTATTAATAATAATAAACATTATTATACTTATTGTTATTGATGTTATTAGTAGTAAAGATAATAATAAGTATAATAAAATAAATATATATACTAATATAAAATATTAATACTTCTGGCTGCTTCTTTTCTTAACAACAGACTACTTTGGGCTGCTTCTTTTTTAAAAAAATATTATTAATATTTTAATAGTGAGTATACAAATATTTATTGTTAATATTAATATTAATATTTTATTAATATTAATAGTTTGTTAATAATAATAATAATAAATTTTATTGTAGTTGTTATTGATGTAATACTATTAATAATATCGATTATAAAATAATAAAAATATAAGAATATTAATAAGAATAACACATAAATAATATTATTAATAATATAAAATATCGATTATCATGATAATAAAATATTATAAGAATATGAATAAGAATAATAACACATAAATAATATTATTAATAATATCGATGATAATAATAAAAATATAAAAATGAGAATAATAACACACAAATAATATTATTAATATTATATAATATTGATTATAATGATAATATTATAAGAAAATGAATAAGAATAATAACAAATAATATTATTAATCAATATTATATATTATTAATAATATATAATATCGATTATAATGATAATAAATTATTATAAGAATAAGAATAATAACACATAAATAATATAAAATATCGATTATAATGATAATAATATAATATACTAAGAAGAATGAGAATAATAACACATAAATAATATTATTAATAATATATAATATCGATTATAATGATAATAAATTAAGGATAATAACACATAAATAATATTATTAATAATATTGATTATAATGATAATAAATTAAGGATAATAACACAAATAATATTATTAATAATATATAATATCGATATAATGATAATGAAATATTATAAGAATATGAATAAGAATAACACATAAATAATATTATTAATAATATTATTAATAATATTATTATATAGTATTATATAATATTATATATTATTAATAATATTATTTATGTGTTCTTATTCTTATTCATATTCTAATAATACTTTATTATCATTGTAATCGATATTAGATATTATTAATAATATAATATAATAATATTAATAATATAATATTATTATATAATCATATAATATTATATAATAATATAATATAATAAGAAGAATGAGGATAATAATAATAATGACAACAACAACACAGGGGCAGGAATAATAGGGGAATTTCGATATTATATATTATTAATAATATAATATAATAATATTAATAATATAATATTATTATATAATCATATAATATTATATAATAATATAATATAATAAGAAGAATGAGGATAATAATAATAATGACAACAACAACACAGGGGCAGGAATAATAGGGGAATTTCGATATTATATATTATTAATAATATAATATAATAATATTAATAATATAATATTATTATATAATCATATAATATTATATAATAATATTATAATATAATATAATAAGAAGAATGAGGATAATAATAATAATGACAACAACAACACAGGGGCAGGAATAATAGGGGAATTTCGATATTATATATTATTAATAATATAATATAATAACATTAATAATATAATATTATTATATAATCATATAATATTATATAATAATATTATATAATAATATTATAATATAATATAATAAGAAGAATGAGGATAATAACAATAATGACAACAACAACAACACAGGGGCAGGAATAATAGGGGAATTTAAAACAGGGAAAAAAGGGATCTTCCCAAACTATGGGTCAGACAGAAGCCAAGCTGTGTCCATCTCAGACCCAACTGGCTTTCAAGCAGATTTGAAAAGCACTCTCATAAAAGAGGGTGACGTCAGTAAAAAAAGGGGGGGAAGGGGGCGGGGGGAGGGAAGCCGGAGTGAGAAAGGGGGCGGGGCTTCGGGGAGAGAGAGCGAGAGAGAGAGAAGGGCTCGGGCTGTCAATCAAAAGGCGGGAGTTCCAATCATCTCCCTCAATCTGTGCGGACCTGACCCGGGCGCTCCGACTCCGGATCAAGAGGAGGGAAAAAAGGCAGAGAGGGACCGAGGGGAAGAAGAGGAGGAGGAAAAAGAGAGGAGGAAGAAGAAGAGAAGGAGGAAAAGAAGAAGAGGAGGAAGAGAGGGGAGGACAAACCCTCCCAAAAAATCAAGAGTTTTGGAGAGAGACTCAAAAGTGCCAGCAACAACAACAACAACAAGAACAGCAACCCAGCGGTCCGGCTCCTCTCCTTTTTTTTTTCTCCGCCTTCCCTCCCTCTTTCCTTCCCTCCTTCTTCTAGACTTTTGGAAGAAAGATACTCAAAGGCGTTTTCTTCTTTCGGGCTCCTTTCTTTCTTTCTTTCCTTCCTTTCATCCCGGACTTTCGGAGAGCCTCGAAAGCGGGGCTGAGAACGAGCCCGCTCTTCTCCTCCTTTTCTCTCTTTTCCCTTTCTTTCTTTCTTTTTCCCTCGCTCCTCTCTTTCTCTCCCCTTCTTCCCCTTTCCCTCCTTCTTCCAAGTCTCCAAGACTTTTGGAGAGACCCCAGAAAGCGCCCTAAAAGGGGGGACTAAGAGGGAGACTCTCTCTCGCTTTCTTTTCCTCCTTCTTCTGTTCTTTTCTCTCTCTCTCTTTCTTTTCCTCCTCCTTCTGTTCTTTTCTCTCTCTCCTCTCATTCTTTCCCTCCTTCACAGTCTCCAAGACTTTTGGAGGAAGCTTAAAAGCGCCTCAAAGGTGAGGTTAAGAGCGAGATTCTCTTTCTTTCTTTTTCTCCTTCTTCTGTTCTTCTATCTTTCTGTCTTTCCCTCCTTCCCTTCGATGTCTCCTAGACTTTGAGAGAGACCCCAAAAAGAGCGAGTCTTTCTCTCTTTCTTTTCCTCCTTTCCTTCACAGTCTCCAAGACTTTTGGAGGAAGCTTTAAAAAGAGCTTCAAAAGGGAGGCTAAGAGCGAGACTCCTTCTCTTTCTTTTTCTCCTTCCTCTGTTCTTTTTTCTCCTCTCCTCTCCTTTCTTTCTTTCCTTCTTTCCTTCCTTCCTTCTGTGCCTTCCAGACTTCTAGAGAGACCGTAAAAAGGGCCTCAAAAGGAAGCCTAAGAGTGAGACTCTCTCTCTTTCTTTTCCTCCTTCCTCTGTTCTTTTTTTTCTTCTCTCCTCTTTCTTTCCTTCCTTCTTTCCTTCCTTCCTTCTATGCCTTCCAGACTTCTAGAGAGACCGTAAAAACGGCCCCAAAAGGGGTAGCTAAGTGAGACTTTCTCTCCTTCTTTTCCTCCTTCCTCTGTTCTTTTTTCTTCCCTCCTCTCCTTCCTTCCTTCCTTCCTTCCTTCCTTCCTTCCTTCCTTCTCCTTCCTTCCTTCCTGCCTTTATGCCCTCCAGACTTCTAGAGAGACCCTAAAAAGGGCCCCAAGAAGGGCGATCCTCTCTTTCTTTTCCTCCCTCTTCTCTCCCGTTTTCCTCGCTCCTCTCTTTCCCTTCAATGTCTCTAAACTTTTAGAGAGACCCTAAAAAGCGCCTCAAAAGCGAGGCCGAGAGTGAACCTCTCTCTTTCTTTTTTCCTCCTCCTTCTATCCCGTTTTCCTCGCTCTTCTCCTTCCTTCCTTCCTTCCTTCCTTCCTTCCTTCCTTCCTTCCTTCCTTCCTTCCTTCCTTCCTTCCCTCTCCTAGACTTTTGGAGAGACCCTAAAAAGAACCCCAAAAGGGGGGACTAAGAGCGAGTCTCTTTCTTTTCCTCCTCTCCTTTCATTCTTTCCCTTCAGTGTCTCCTAGACTTCAGGCGGCGAGGACTAAGAGGAAACCTTTCTCTCTTTCTTTTCCTTCTTCTATCCTGTTTTCCTCGCGCCTCTGTGTCTTTCCCATTCCTCCCCTTTCCCTCCAATGTCTCTTAGACTTTGAGAGAGACCCTTAAAAGCGCCCGAAAAGGAAGGCTAAAAGCTAACCTCTCTCTCTTTCTTTTCCTCCTTCTTTTCTTTATTCCTCTCTCTTTTCTTTCTTTCCCATTCCTCCCCTTTCCCTCCTTCCTTCGATGTCTCCTAGACTTTGAGAGAGACCCCAGAAAAGATCCCGAAAAGGGGAGCTAAGGCCGAGTATTTCTCTTTTTCTTTCTTTCTTTCTTTCTTTTCTTTTTCTCCTTCTTCTCTTCTTTTCTCTCTCTTCTCTCTTTCTGCCTTCCCTTCCCTTTAATGTCTCCTAGACATTGAGACCCCAAAAAGCGCCCTAAAAGGGGAGCTAAGAGCGAGTATATCTTTTTCTCTTCCTTTGTTCTTTTCTTTCTCTTCTTTCTTTCTTTCTTTCTTTCTTTCACTCCTTCTCTTCAATGTCTCCTAGACCTTGAGAGAGACCCCAAAAAGAGTCTTAAAAGGGGAGCTAAGAACGAATATCTCTTTTTCTCCTTCTGTTCTTTTCTTTCTTTCTTTTTCTCCTTCTTCTGTTCTTTTCTCTCTCTTCTCTCTTTCTTTCACTCCTTCTCTTCAATGTCTCCTAGACTTTGAGAGAGAGTCCTAAAAGGGGAGCTAAGAGCGAGTGTCTCTTTCTTCTTCTCCTTCTTCCCTTCTTTTCTCTTCTCTTTCTTTCCCTCCTTCCTTTCAATGTCTCCTAGACTTTGAGAGAGAGCCCTCAAGGGCGGGCTGAGTCGAGTCTCTTTCTTTTCCTCTTCTCTTTCTTTCCCTCCTTCCCTCCCTCCCCAATGTCTCCTAGACCCTAAAAGGGGTCTCTCTCTCTCTCTCTCTCTCCTCTCTCTCTCTCTCTCTGGCCTCCCTCCCTCCGTCGGAAGCCATGGCCTTCTCCCAGCTGGGCTACCAGTACCTCCGCCCCATCTACCCTCCGTCGGAGCGCCCGGGCGGCGGGGGCGGCCTGGCCAGCGGAGCCCGCCCGGGTCCGGCCGAGCTGAGCCCCTCGGGTCGCCTCTCGGGGGTCCTCTCCTCCATGTACGCCGCCGCCGGAGCCCCTTACGCCGCCGCCGTGGCTCAAGGCTACGGAGCCTTCCTCCCCTACGCCGCCGCCGCAGAGCTGCCCCTCTTCCACCAGCTGGTAAGCCCTCGGGGAGCCCTTCTGGTGTGTGTGTGTGGGTCCATTAGTCGCCCCGAAAACGGGTTAGAAAGGCAGCCAAGGGTTCCCTCTTTGGGTCGCTCTCCCTTTCCTCCTCCCCGGCCCTCGAGAGGCTCCAGGGTTCGAGCGGCAGGCAGTCCCCAAGATCTGTAGGTTTGTTCTTAAGTGGAACTCGTATGTAAGTCGGAACAGGGCCATTTCTTACATGGAACTCCAGGCGCGCGTGTATATGTATGTATGTATGTATGTATGTATGTATGTATGTATGTGTATGTATGGATGCATGCATGAATGCATGCTTTGGGGGTGAAGGGAAGGGTGAAGACTTTTTGAAATGCAACTCCAGCCAGACAGCTAGAGAAATGCAACTTGGAGACTATATATATGAATAGAATATATAGATATAGATGATAGAGAGAGAGAGAGAGAGATGTGTGGCTTTGGATCTCATAGGGAAGGGTAAACACTTTTTGAAATGCAACTCCAGCCAGGTAGCTAGAGAAATGGAACTTGGAGACTATATATATGAATAGAATATATAGCTATAGATATAGGTATAGATAGATACACACACACACACACATATATATATATAAGAGAGAGAGAGATGTATGTGTGTGTGTGTATAGATAGATAGATAGATAGATACACACACATATATATATCTAGAGAGAGAGAGAGAGAGGTGTGTGTGTGTGTGTGTGTGTATGTATATATGTATATATTGTTATATCCAAGTTACATCTATCTAATCTATCTGTCGATCTATCTGGTTGGAGTTGCAACACACACACACACACATATATACACACACACACATACTTGGGGATTATATAGTTCCCAAGTTACATCTATCTATCCATCTATCTATATGACTTGAATTGCATTGTGTGTGTATATATATACACACACACATATACATATATATAGTGTCTCCAAGTTACATCTATCTATATGGCTGAAGTTGCTATATACATATATATATATACACACACACATACATACACACACATATATATACATATACATATATACATATACATAGTGTCTCCAAGTTACATCTAAATATATGGCCGAAGTTGCAGTGTGTGTGTGTATATATATTTATATATATATATGTATATAAAACAATTTGGGGTCTATATATATAGTTTTAATTTTTTGGAAATATTTCTGTGTGTGATACACACACACACACACACACAGTGCCTCCAAGTTACATCTATCTTATCTTGCTACATTGCTGAAGTTGCAATATATATATATATATATAAGCTTGGGGTCTATATATATATATGGTTTTAATTTTTTGGCAATATTTCTCTGTGTGTGTATAATATATATATAGTCTTCAAGTTACATCTATCTATCTATCTATTTATCTATCTGGCTGGAGTTGCTCTCTCTCTCTCTCTCTCTCTCTATATATATATATATATAGGCAATATTTCTCTCTGTGTGTAATATATATATATATATATATATATATAGTCTCCAAGTTACATCTATCTATCTATCTATCTATCTATCTATCTATCTATCTATCTATTTATCTATCTGGCTGGAGCTGCTCTCTCTCTCTCTCTCTATATATATATATATATACATACATACACACACATGGGGACATATATCTCTTTCTCTCTATATGGCTTGAGTTGTATTTTCAATGCTGTTCAGCTTTCCCTATGCGACCCAAAGCGCCCTCGCACATACATATTCTACATGCTTTGGATCGCATAGGAAAGGGTGAACACAGCCCTGTGGGGTTTCTTTTCCTCCCAGTGCCCTTCTTCAGAAGATTTCAGTCATTCCCCCCCCCCCCCAATTATAATTGTATTCTGAATTTGTCTCTAAACAAATCACCTCTTTTCTTTCTGTCCCTGTGAGAATCGGACTTTGGAAAATGCGGCTTATCCTATCAGGATAACAGCTCTATCCAAGAGTTCCTAAAAGTAGATTTCTCTCACTTCTTTCCCCCATTCGTAACTAGGAGTCGTTTGTAAGTCGGGTGTTGGGACGGCCTGTATATTGGATAGGATGCTATGGTACTGGGTGACATTTAATTGTATGTGTGTACATTTATATGTAAGATATGGTGCTAGGTTTTTTGTTTGTTTTGGTTTTTTGTTGTTGTGGGGTTTTTTTTTGCCAATCAAATCCCCCAAATAATTAAGTAGGGATTCAATACTGAAACCCCTTAATTCAGCTTCACTTTCCCAACCAACTTTCCCATCCTCAAAAAGCAAAGCATGCAACGACTGGATTTTATTTTTGTGTGTTTTGTGTGTCTATTGATTTCTCTATATCTATTTATTTGATTGATAGGTGATATTTAAACCTATCTATTTTTGACATGTCCACATTCTATATTTAGACATTCCTTTTATTTTACAGATCTCTTGTTTACATTTATAAGTAAATAATACATTGGATTGACGAGCCCTTAGGCCTGATCACCATAGGGAACCAAACATGTTTACACCTATAGATTATTCTTAATGTATAGATTAACTTTATTTCTACAGATCTGATTTTATATTTATAGATTATCTTTCTGTTATATAACTATTTTACATATTTATAGATTTTCTTTATTTTATAGATTATCTATTTCTACAGCTCTCTATATTATATTAATTATTATGTATTATATTTATTTTATATATATAATATTATATTAATTATTATGTATTATATTTATTACATTATATTATATTATTATGTATTATATTTATTATATATATATTTCTATTATATTTATTGTACATCTCTATTTTTATATTTCTATTAATATCCCTATATAACAATATATTATATGTATTATATTATATTATTTATTATGTATTATATTTCTTATATATAATATTATATTAATTATGATGTATTATATTTGTTATATTATATATATATATATATATATATATATATATATATATATATAT